CTCTAGAAGGTGGCTATCTACAAACATTTCCGTTTGGTTTTACCACATTTGAATTCCGTCTTTGCGGTTTCATGTCTAAATAGGTATTTCAATAGTCCATTGAATAAGCACTCTAAATATTATTAAAAAACTAATAGGTAATAATATCAAACTGATGATGACATTGGTGTAGAAAATAATAAATAACACTTGGTAGATGTACTTTTTGATATCAATCGTGAATCTATTAACACTAATGTCACAACTACAAGTTATTTGTCATTCAAAAATTCACCACTAGGTATATATAAATATATTATAAACTTATTTTACAATATTGCTGAAATTATATTTCAAATAGTTAAAGCCGAAAGCTTTTATTTTGGTTTTAATTTGTCTTCAATCACCCTATTAATTTATCTTAATTTAAAATCGCTAATTGTGCTCGAAACAGTCAAAACCTCAAAATAGGTAGGTACATTTTAATCATAATTATTTTAAAGATTAATTAGGATAAAGTATTTCATTAAAGCCAGAAACGATTAAATTATTTGGAGCATTTGTTCGTTCAAGGACGTTTCGGGGTAAAGTATTTCCTCAATTACGATATAAAAACTTACAAACAAAATACAAATATCTACATAACGTGAGTTATATTATTTCGTTTTCAATATAATTGTTTTTTAGCATGGAACTCGGTACAACTATTATAAAAGTACATACTCAATAAAAAAAAAAAATTATCATTTTAGACGGTTGTGAATTATGATTTATTTTAATACTAATAATATTCTATATAAATTACCTTCCATATGCGATAATTGAAGTAATAAAATGTAATATTTTGATAATACAATAAAACGATGAACAAATTGGATTTTCTTTTTTTTATGTTAAATTTTAATTATATTGTTTTAGAATTAATTAAATCGACAAGAACAGTTATCATAAAAATATTATCACTATAATACACAGTTACCTATGGATTACAGTTAATAATTTAAAGCATAGGTTATACTGATTAATTATTTTTATAATTCTATATTTTAACTCGCAGAGGTCATTTCATTTCAATATTCATCACGTATAACATTGTTCATTAGATGTTTGAATTTGTTCCATTAATTTCGACGAATATTGATGCTATTGAGAAAATGTATTATAATTGTATTAATATAATATTTATTTCATAATATTCTTATTAAAATTGAATGTTTTCTTAGGAATAGTGAGTATTAAAAATAAACGATTATTAATGAATTTTTATGTTAAAAGTTTAATTAGAAAATAATGCTCATAAAATAATTCAAGTTGGTATTTCAAATTTAAATACCTATATAAGTTAAATATAGGTATCTACTGGCTACTTACCTAAAATTAATATTACCATTATTTTTTCACCATCTTTTTTTAATTCACGCTAATTATATAGCCAATAAATAGCTAATCATCATATAATATTATATTATACTTACTATAGCTAAATGTAGAGACAATTGACAAATCCTATAACCAACCTTATAATTGCGTGTTATTCTACATTTAGCACGCGTTAAAAACGCAAAGATTATTGATTGATCCCCATTTGTTCATAAATAAAAAACAATCTAAGTTTTTAAGTGTTTTGACAATTCTATGAGACAGATAAGTTTTCGTTTACAGTTTATTGATCGATTGAGTATAATAAAAACTGCACTTGAAATTTACATTAATTGCATTACTTAAAGATAATATTTAAAACATAAGTCAATAAAATTGAGATTAATTAATTTATGATAATATACAAAAGTATTGTGCCAAAAGAGTATTAGAAAGAATTACAGTTTTTAATCTAAATTAGTGTCTTAAGCCGTACGGCATACGACGTTTTTTAATTTTTATGGCAACGAACAATTGGTTTGAAAATTATTAATGACAACTGACACTCTAAATACGTTCATTCGACTACTGAACTACCTCACGAAAGTTAATACTATAAATACAAACAGTAAGTAATATACATTTAAAATTTAAATCATTTTTCGTTTTATTACATTTATTTTTAATGAAGCAGTATAGTATTCAAATTAATTATTTTTTTAGTTAATATTCTAAAATAAGTTTATGTGATTATATTAAAAGTTAATCATTTAAAAATAATATTCAAGTAATATTTTTTATTCAAGTAAGAATAGATAGGCTTATTAGTTGAAGTAAATTTAATTTATATTAGGTATTCGTATTTCATAATAATTGAAGACTGTAGAAAAATACAACTGTGTCAAGATTGCCAATAATTATTTAAATATATTTTACAATTAAATAAATCAGGTATGCTTTATTCAATTTTAGCACTTAAACTAAATTAATATATATATTTTTTCAAGGAAACATTTTGATTATTATGTATAGTTGAATGCATTTTATTTTTAAATTAATTTAATTCTTTTTAAAATACAACCAATTAATATAATATTAGTAATATAGGTAGTTATTATAAGTTCTGAATTGAAAAAAAAAATCAAGTACCTGTTGTGTTTTTAAACTCTTACAATTTTACATAATATTAGGTTTACATAGTAAACTCGTGTTTTAATGGAATATTACAATTTAAATTATGTATTAAATTAACACTTAAAGGACCATTATTATTAATCATGCAAGTACCTGATGTATATGATTGTGTACTTCTGTCAGAATACATAATAATATTACCTGTTTGTGAACGTACACCGTAGTATTTATTTAACAACCTTATTTCTATTTTTCATTTTTTTTTTTTTAAATTACTCAGTGTTGTCATTAATAATAATTTTCCGCATTCATAAACACAATAATTACGATCGGCTATGCGGTTCGTTAAATTTGTCAAAAATAATATTTAAACTAACATAATAAAGAATTATTTCCTGATGATTATGTTCTTTTTAATATTTTAACATTTAAAAACAGAAGTTATACATTTTTCTTGTCTCGTAGATAGTACTAGATACACCCTTTTTTTAATGGCATTGAGTATCGTCAACACACATTTTTTTCTTAGTATACCAAATGCATTATTTATTTATATATTTTCAAAGACGTCGATAAAATTACATGTCTGTATACATAGGTACTTATTCGAAAACTTGTTTGGTAATTAAGATATATATAAATCTTAATAAAATGTAAACATACTGTATAGGTACTTAAACTTTGACCTAAGAAGCCAATACTCCTTTCGTATCATAATATTGTATTATGTTCGCATAACAGTAAAACAAAAATGATGAAATCAATCTCGGCCCATATTATGAGTATAATAAATAATCCTTTTGAATAATTCAAAACTTACTTAAATAGAACAACATAAGTCATAACTTATGATGTGAACTATATCATAAAGTAATAAATTTATTTTCAATCGAAAATAATATTATATAGAACGAGGACTAAACGCAATAAAATACATTTTAAAATAATAAATAAAAAAAAATTGTCTATTCTTTAGTTTTTGTCTTGGCATTACAACAATCTTATTGAATTACGACCTTCAAAATAAATCTAACCGTTTTTTATGTTTTACGCCAAGATACTGTTGAGTTAATACATACAACACATAACATTATTCAAATATTTCCATGCACCGATGATGTATCGGACATTTCTTTGCGATTTTCACATTCACATATTATAATGTTATACACAACGCACGCGCTAATTAAATAGATGTCAAATATGCAATAGAAAGTTTTAACTGTTCTTTGTCCACGCATATTTGAAATTATACTTGATTAATATGGTTTATACGAATCCAATTTTACAAAAATGTTTTTTACTGTATTTACATTCTTAAAATCATATACAAGTTATTGATAAAATATTTAACTACAATAAATTAAGTCATGTAAAATTCCAGACAAGATATTTTAACTTAAATAATTTTCACTTAAAAATTCTAAATTATGTATAAGGATGCATTCTGAGGACGATTTACATTTATTGGACGTATCAAACGTTTGGTAAATAATAATAAATATGCATTTTGTGAAATTTACAAAAAATATTCCAAGTATCGTATGACATTTTAACAATTAATTATTTTAACTTCTTATGAAAAAATTATTATTTTATTATTATATGTTATACATTAATATATATCAACAAAAAGTCTTGCTATTTCATTTAAAAAACACCGGCATGTAGTTATATTTACAGCCGGTATAGGTGTGAAAGATTTGGTTACCATAATGGTTGGTACTTGGCCACTATAGGTATGTGTTTCTGTTTGAATACAAATTATATAAAATTATACTTACAAATTATATTGATATCAAAACAATGTTTTATAAGCTCCTCATGTAGTGTGCAGTATGATCATAACGATAACGATCTTCACAACGATAAACCATAATAATAGGCGCATAACGAATCTTCATTACCAATAGCATAATATAGGTTCTATCTTGTATACTATATTACTGTGTAGCCGTGTAGGTACTAATAAGTAATAAGGTACAGCATTTACCGACCCTGCCACCACGGTATCATAGCTGGGTTCAGTAGCATCGACATGGTGAATTTTAAATATTTCTTAGAGGCAAGACTAATATTCTACTCACCTACCCACCCACTTAAAACCTGATGAATACATATACATTTATCGTTGTATTATTAACTACATATCGTGGAAAATACTAAAATACTAGTTACTAAATTAATACCCATTGATCATTACGCAACCACCTACCACTCCTTAAAAAACTCAATAGGTCGTTGCCACTTGATTACCCCTTTTGCCACGTAACTGACTGGGCTTAACAAATGGTATGAAAATGATCAGTACTTCGAACGGCCGAATACAATAATTCGTTAATAATAATTGTATAACAAACTGCTTGGCCTGTACATGAGGCGTATTTTAAATTCTTTGATTAAAATTGTAAATGCCTCCTTTATCTAAGAGTACACATTAATACTGTCCAATTTTATGATTTCCATTATTTACCTACTTATTGTTTATTTTTATTCTGTTACAGAAATATTATTTTCACAGTGTCAAAATGACTTTAGAAAAAATCGCCATGACCCAGCGTGCTATGGAAGAAGAACAACAAGCACGAATTGGAAATCAAAAATGGACTCAATACTTGGCTGCCTTTATTGGTAATTTATATGAACAAAAGTCTGTAAATCAATTGGATGCGTTGTTTAATATGTGCCTATACTTAATATAGCGACAATTGGTGGGTTCATCGCGGGTACGGCCCTAGGATGGACAGCTCCAGCTGGTCCAATGATGAAGAACAATCAGTATTCATTCGTTATATCAATCGAGAGTCTCGCGTGGATTGGAGCGTGTATGCCACTCGGTGCCATGCTTGGGTGTCCGGTTACAGCTGGCTTAGTCGACAAATTGGGACGTAAAAACATGATGATAATGTTGTGCATACCAACACTCGTTGGTTGGGCAATGATGATATGGGCAGAATCTGTAAGTACAAACAACTTTATGGAAACATTCGTTTTTAGCAAGAACAACCTTTACAAAAAATATGATACTTCAAGGTGGCATGGATCTGTGCTGGTAGACTTTTGACTGGATTCGCCAGCGGTTCGTTGTCTGTTATTGTACCCTTGTACACATCTGAAATAGCCGAAAAGGAAATTCGTGGTACTTTGGGTACATATTTCCAGTTACAAGTCACCGGAGGAATTTTATTCACCTATGTCATAGGATCTTATGTAAGTTCATATACTATATTATAAAATAATATATTCTTTAGAATATTCAATATGTATAACGATTAATATGTATGTTATTATTTTTTACAGTTCGATATATTTGGTCTGACTATTATTTGTGCTATCATTCCAATTGCATACGTGGCTTTGATGGTTTTAATTCCAGAAAGTCCAAACTTCCATCTCATGAAAGGAAACGTAGAAAAAGCCCGTTTATCTTTAAGATATTTCCGCGGACCTTATGGCACAGTTGACCAAGAATTGTCTATAATGCAAGACTCGTTAGCGAAGGTACATACATAATACATATTATATATTAATTGTAATTTACATTGAATTAGTAACTAAACCGTAAATAATTAATTTCAGACTGAAAGGGAAAGAGTTCCGTTAATGGAAGCTTTTCAAACAACATCAGCCAAACGCGGTTTGTTTATTGGTCTCGGAGTTATGCTTTTGCAACAATTTTCTGGATGCAACGCTGTCATATTCTACGCTACGTTTATCTTTAAAGTAAATTATACAATACTTGTTATTTGAATATTAAATTAATTACCATTTTATTAACCTACGTGTTGTTTATAGGAAGCCGGCAGCGCAATGGAACCAAATACGTCCACAATCATCGTTGGTATTATGTCGGTTATTGCCACCTATGTTTCTACACTGATCGTTGACAGATTAGGAAGGAAAATTCTTCTTTTGAGCTCAATCATTATCATGGCAATCTGTACGTTGCTAATTGGTGCCTTCTTCTACATGAAGGCTAACGAATACGATGTATCATCAATTGGATTTATTCCACTTACGTCCATGTGTGTGTTCATAATCCTGTTCTCTCTTGGTTTTGGTCCCATCCCATGGATGTTGATTGGTGAAATCTTCCCGGCACAAATCAAAGGTAAATTATTCTTTTTAATGGTTTTTAATTCGTGTACCTAATTTTTAAATTTTGATTTAAAATATTTTTAGGTACCGCTTGCTCCGTCGCCTGTATGGCCAACTGGTTCTTCGCTTTCATTGTCACGAAATTCTTTTCGTCGTTGGTATCTGCTATTCATATATACAATACATTCTGGTTATTCACATTGTTCTCCATATTGGGTACGTTCTTCGTAATTTGCATCGTCCCCGAGACCAAAGGCAAGACGATGGACGAAATTCAAGAAATGCTCGGCGCGGGCAGTGATCTCACACCACCAACACATGCCAATGCTTCCATCGACACCAAAGGAAAATTCTAAATTAGACTTTACTAGAGGATTAGAAAAACGTTCCATCTCCACCTTCCCGATTATTATTAAACATGGTTGTTTTATTGAATCAATAATATGAATCATTAATTTATACAAACGAATTGATAACTGCATCTGTTGAAGGGTGCTATCTTTTTATAGACAATTATTTATTGCATAATCATTAGTGAATTAATAATTATCGAATGTAGTTGCAGGAAGGCAGCCTTGTAAACATTATCTCTTTCTTACAGCATAATATGACTTATGGCTGTGATGTATACTTTTACACTTAGACAATGAGAAACATTATTAACTAGAAAATTATTTATATTGACAGCTATAGACATCTATATTTATCAATTTTTATATCATCATATCATTATATTTTATTTATGAACATACTTAATCATTTCATTGTTATAAAACTGATCAATTATATTGATATCTTATTTATGTTTTTTTATGTTTTCTTTTAAGTGTAAACTCGCCACAAACATTGTTTGAACCTCTGCTGTAACTAACAACTTAGAAGTTGACATGTTTTGGTGATTTGAATCTGTGATACTTTGGAATAACTATAGCTATTTTATATTATGCTAAATATGTGTAACCAAACGAATGAGAGTCCAATGCAATATTAGTTAATAAGTGCCTACTTATTTAATTTTTTTTAAGTTTTTAATTTATTATATTATTGTACTATGTTGTACCAACCAATAAAGAAATAAAATCTTTACTGAATAAACATGATTTCTATTATTTAAAAGTTATGAATTTGTCGCCAACCTGCTAGGTATTTGGATAAACTCACGACTCACTTAAGAGGACGCCACACCCGCATGTGTTGTCTCCGTCTTACAAACGCGTAACATAGCAAATTACGTCCACGGAAAACAAACGAATCGGCATCAAAAAGTGGTTTTAGAGTAAAAATACCTATAATAAAACTTAAAGAGAACAATATTTCGGAGGGAACCTCATCGGGGTTTTGTATTAATCTAAATACACAGCTAGATATTGAAGGCACAAAAACTCTTTTTTTTAAATAACCACAACTTTTTTAATAGTTAATATTTTTAAAAACGCCGATGAGGTTCCCTCCAAAATATTGTTCTCTTTAAGTTTTATTATAGGTATTTTTACTCTAAAACCACTTTTTGATGCCGATTCGTTTGTTTTCCGTGGACGTAATTTGCTATGTTACGCGTTTGTAAGACGGAGACAACACATGCGGGTGTAGCGTCCTCTTAATATAATATGTAACACAATTATATTCATCTGATATCCATATAATATTATGAAAGAAGTTTTTGTCTATTTGAACTATTTGAACTATTTGTCTTGTAAAACACTACAACATGAACTATATGAAATATTGAAATCTATATAACTATTATAAGATGCGTATCCAACACGTACTTGTGAAATGGCCAAAGGCCAAAGGGCTTAAGTATTAAGTAAATACGCAATCGAGTATTCAAGTTTCCTATAAAGGTGCCTTTTTATAATGCTAAAATATAAAACTCGTGCTACACAAAATATACAGTTGTGTAATAATTTTTATGTAATAAATATATATACACTAATACACTATCTCATAGTATCCCTGTATCAGGAAAGGATCCAGAATAGATTTAGGGGTAAGGGGGTATCTTGTATAAAATGTTAGCTATTATGTCTGATAAAAACAGTGTAAATACTATGTAAGCTAATAAGTAATAGGTAAATATTATTAATCAAATTTCAATTTGTCAGTCCTACTAGATAAATAAAATAAAATATGAATAATCCTCAGGTTAAATTAATTTTACACGGCATATAGAAATATACATTTTTAAATTTTTAAATAAAAAAAAATTAAAACATTACAAAATCATTTCGTCTTTTTGATTCAGATTTGTCAGTACAATTAGGTTAGTAAAATAAACGGTTAAACGATACATTAAAATATATAATAAATAGTAACTAATAATATAATATAAAAAATATTACATAAAAAAATGATCACAGAACAAAATTGTTTCGTCTTTTCGATTTTGCAAATTCGTCTATAACGTCGTTACATTTAATACTAACATTCCTACAAAAATGAAGTATTGCAAGTCCATATAATATATGAGCTTATCCGATATTCTTGATTGCATCCAAGTTTTTAATCGGCGAAGAGAAGAGAAAATTTCGTTCTGCAGTTACTGAAGTGGCTGGTAATGATAAAAATTATATATAATTGGGAACGTTTCGGGATCACATTTTTCAAAAGCTTCTAAATTGAATTTGGAATTTCTTTTTCGTTAGTCCAAATAAGTATGACATAATTGAAGCTCTTCTTCAAAATAATTTTTTACAAGGTCTTCTGATAAATTAAACTTTATAACTATTAATTCACTAAACTGTGCCATCTCATATTGTTAATTTTATTTTGTAATTCTGTTTGGTTGTTAAAAACTTCTTTATTATGAATAAAATATGGCAAAACTATATCTAAATGACATTGACACTGATTTTTCATCAAATCTATTCTGAAGGTCCTCAGTAATTCAGTCATCTAAAATAGGAATAAAGGATTTTTAGTCCGTGGATGGATTGACTCTATACTCGTCATTCATTTTGTGATTCTTGGGGTTTTAATTTCATCATCAATTCCTATTTTTTCAAACATTTTATATTATTATTAAAAATTAAATTAAAACTGTCAGAGCTGTTTTTCCGTTTTTCTATTAAAATCATATGTGTAGGTACATTATTTATTACATTTGAAGCCGAAAATTCATCTTGAACAATTCTACTTATTGGTGGAGTTATTGCAAATATATCCGACATAAGATTTAATGTTAAAATGAATTATGCTTTTGATAAATATTTTGTTAATATAGACACTTTTGAGGCCGTTCTAGTATCGTTCTATTCAGATATTTTATCTAATGTCTCAAGAATTGAAAACAAATTCGAAGAAAACTGTATAATGGAATCATGCTTTTCGACCCACCTGATTTCGCATAAGGATTTTAAAGAACTATTTAGAATATTTTTTAAAACGAAATTTTTTTTTTTTTTTTGCTGAAGTGTTGAAAAAACTTACTATAAAATATAGTACAAATTGTACAATTCCAAATGCATTTCTAACAAATGTTTGTTTACATTCTATCACTATAGATAAATTCAGAGCATAACTAAAACTAATTTATTCGAACTAGCTATAGTAGGTAATAAAGTAACCTACGTTCAAGCTATATGGCGTTGAAAATTTGAAATAATGTTATGTTTTAAATTTTTTATATTTTATTGAAGCATACAATTTGTAAAAACATATATCAATTAACAACTATCTACCAAGTGGCCAATAGTCTAGTCCTAGCCAATGCCAGTCTTTTAAAAGTATTCAAATACAGATACAGATAGGTACTTATTTTGAAAAGTATTTAAAATACGTTTTTGAAATTTTAACACTCATAGTAAAAAAAGTATTTGCGTACAAATACAAATAGTTTAAATAAGTATTTATATATAGGTAGGTACTTTTAAATTTTGTATCGGTAAATACTTTTTTTACCTTTTAAATCAACAGAACAAATTTTCATGTTTTAAGTTAATTTTATTGATGATTTTACACCGTATCATTTGGTGTAACTATAAAAATACACTCATCTGATTTTTTTTGTCTAAGTACCTATTAAGATTTTTGGTTGAGAAATAATTCTTAATTTGTTTTTTACGTGATTAAATTAAAATTAAAATAAGAAATATTATATACCTAAACTAAAACGAATAAGTATTTGAAAATTAGTATTTTATTTTGAATACCTACAGGTACATTGAGAAAGTATTTAAAATACTTTGTCTGGATACTTTTTTTAAAAGTATTTAAGATACGTATTTCAGAGTATAGGTACTTAAAAACTATTTGATTATTCGAATACTTTTACAATTTACTCAAGTACTTTACAAGACTGCTACTGCCTAGTAGACAGTGTCTACTGTCTAGCCTCTAGCCACAGATTATATTTTATATAAAAAAATATACACAACGCGTAATATAGGTAGGTAGTGTACTAGTGTAATATAGTTACAGTGCCAAGTGGACTATTAAGATCTAATAACTCAGAGGACTTCCCACGGTATATATTCTACTATATTGCGTCATAGTTCTCTGCCGTGGCTCTTCTGCAATATGTAATCTATGCTGAAAGTTACAATTATTAATAATGACTAGGGCAGTAGGGCTCGGGACTTCTAGGAGTTTGCATGTTTTTAAATAATCATTAAAACCATACCTAAGTAATATATACCTTTGTTTCATAGCAATACGAGTTTAAATTTAAAATTTATAGTTTAACGGGTAACGAAGTGCACGGGATCAGCTAGTAAATAATAACGATATAAAAAATCCAAACTGAAAAACCGTCTACGCTCAGAACAGGGGCAGACTGGGCCGAAAGGCAACTGGGTGATCGGCCCCTGGGCTGTTTTTGCAGGCCCTCACAGGTTTATTGGGCCAGTGGACCGTGATTATTTTGTCAGTAGGTACCTACTTTATGCAATCTATACAACTGTAGCTTGGTACTAATGACTAATCCCTTCTGTCTAAGCTATTGCCATTAAAAAATGTATATTTGTGTAATTTTTGGACTTTTACCTATGATCGCCCGGGCCGATTTTTTACCCCAGTCCGCCCCTGGCTCAGAATCGTTTTTCTTATAATATCATTAAATTCAAGTTTAGGTGCCGAATCACACTATGCGTTTTGTGAGTTGCCGATAAACTGAATAATGCTAAGTTTTTTAACATTGTTTTATACTAATACCTAGTTAAATTTTTAAGTGATTACATAATTACATTGATTTTATAATGTGTGCTATTATAATACATTATAAAATCAATGGTAATTCAAAATGAATAACTAACTAGATAGTTAGGTAAGTTAAAAAGCTTTAAAAAATTATTTTTTACTAGTTATTGCCCACCTTTGATTTCATAATAATTAATATTATATTTAAAATTATTTTATATTTTATAAATTAATGCTTCTTGCTATGTAAAGTTGCTATTGCAAATTTATTTATATACCTAGACTAATTCACCAATATACTACTGACCTGATTTTTAAACCCATTTTGTGCACGAATAGGATCATTTTTGGGAAAATGAAACAATGTTTAACTAGGTTTTTCAACTTTACTTTTAAAGAAGTTGAAGAACATACATTTATTTCTCCGATCCATTATAATGTTATTAATAACTAAACAACAATACGACAAATGACAATGTTTATGCTCAACACATATAATTATTTGACGATATAGTACATAATTAATATTTTCGATTGAAAATTATTACCATAGAACAATAAGTTATTACTATTGATCTATATTATTACCAAACTATCACACGGCGTTGGCTATCTATGTATGTTTAATCTATGGTTATGTCGATTATGATTTGATGGTAAAAACCACAGATAAAAAAAACAATTATGAATCATAGATATTAAAGAATATTCTTTAATAACTATGTTATGAATAGATAGTATCATCCTCAATTTACATAGTTTTATTCTTATAGTTTTTTATAATAAATTGTTACTTTTTCAAAAATCCATTAAATAGGTATCTTAAGTGTCACCATTTTTATGGATCTAAATTAGGGTGTCGTACTCACTGTCGTCGTAAAAAAAGATTGAGAAGCACAACTGCTACAAGGTCTATGCATAACTCTATTGTTCTATGGTTGATTATATGCAACAATTACTAGTCAACAACTATTTATCATCTGCTTATCATTTCACCTCGCGTTATCAATTATTATTAGATAAACATAATAAATAATAATATATTCGCTATTGGTTCAATTTAAAATGTAATATTACTTTAATAATAGTTTAATAATATTATTTATAATAACTTCAGATATCATAGTAAATACTGATATTCGATCGTATTTAAATATTTCATGAAATACTACAATTTTACTTGGTAGAAGCATAGAACAAGTAGAAGCACAGAGGCAGAACATAACATGCATAATATATTTGAGGGTAAAAGTAGTAGAATAGGTGATCATGACGATCATGTTGCTTCTAGTTTCAGACGTCCCAGTGATGAAGATGAAGATGAAATACCAAAAGTATTATACACATTATTATCGTTTTTTTAAAATTTTTTTTATTAATTGTTCCACCTTCACTTCTTGGCCATTGGACTTTAACTTAAGCTACAACAGTGAATCACGTACATATTTTAGATAATAGGCATAGTTCTAATTAAAAAAATAACTGCACTCAAAATTGATTATTAAAGATAAAATTATGTTTTTACTACTTACGTTTTGTACATAATGAAATATAGGTACTAAATGTATAATTTAATAATTTACAGAAAATGTACAGTGAAAAAAGTCCACTTGTTGATAAGACAGTTCCTAAACCTATAACAATAGCTCAACAAATTGCTGCTGAGAGCATAGAAACTCAAATAAAAACTCAAAAAAGGAATCAGTATTTAGCTGCATTAATTGGTAGGTTGACAATTGCAACAGCCTTTATTAAAAATAAGTTATTTATTTGGTATGACTATTGACTGCAGTAAATATTGGAGGGTTTATCATGGGTACAACACTTGGTTGGACGGCTCCTGCAGGTCCGATGATGGAAAACGGCCAATATGGGTTCCAAATTACTCTGGAAAATGTTTCATGGATAGCTTCGGTCATGCCACTTGGTGCCATGCTTGGATGTCCAGTTATGGCTGGTCTAGTCAACAAATTAGGACGTAAAAATCTAATGATAATGTTAACCATACCTACACTTTTTGGTTGGGCGATGATAATATGGGCTAAATCTGTAAATAATAATATTTTTTTTAAGCCAACCAATTTTAATTATAACTGTTAATGTAGATAGTAATATTCTTTAAGGTGGTATGGATTTGTGCTGGAAGATTTTTAACTGGATTTTCTAGTGGTTCATACTCTGTCATTGTACCTTTGTACACTTCAGAAATAGCAGAAAAGGAAATTCGTGGTACTTTAGGTACTTATTTTCAATTACAAGTTAATGCAGGAATCTTGTTCACCTATGTAATAGGATCCTACGTAAGTCTGTATACAATTGTGTTTTATTTTTAATTTAAATGTTATACTCCTTTACAGCTTAATGTATTTGGTCTATCTGTTGCGTGTGCAATAGTTCCAGTGATTTATATATGCTTGATGTTTTTAATACCAGAAAGTCCAATTTTCTATCTTATGAAAGGAAATGTTGAAAAAGCTCAGTTATCGCTGAAATATTTCCGCAAACCTGCTGTTCATGTTAATCAAGAATTAAATACCATGCAGAGTGCATTAGCTAAAGTATAAAAAACAAATATAAGTTTATACATTTTAATAATTATGTAGTTATAGAGTAGGTAAACAGTAAATTAACTTTTACAGACTGAAAGGGAAAGAGTTCCAATCATGGAAGCATTCCAAACTACACCAGCCAAACGAGGATTAAGCTTAGGTCTTGGAGTTATGGTTTTTCAACAGTTTACTGGGTGTAATGCCGTTATTTTCTATGCAACAACTATCTTCAATGTAAATATATTCACTAAACTCATTAAATTGAATTATTTATAATAGTGATATACAATTTATTGCAGGCAACCGGGAGTTCAATTGGATCAAATACATCCACAATTATTATTGGCATCATGGCTGTCGTGTCCACATATGTATCAACGCTTGTCGTTGATAAATTAGGACGGAAAATTCTGTTGTTGTATTCTGTTGTTGCAATGGGAATTTGTACATTCCTTATTGGTGGATTTTTTTATGCTAAGGAATCCCACTATAATATTTCATCTATTGGATTTATTCCATTAATGTCGTTATGTATATTCATAATATTATTCTCCATTGGTTTTGGTCCTATCCCATGGATGTTAATGGGTGAAATATTCCCAGCTCAAATTAAAGGTATGATTAAAATCTAAAGATTTGATATTGATTTTAAGACAACATAGTATGTAGTACCCATTGGTGTTCACTAGCTATGTACTAAGTTATTATATTCCTGAAGACTATTATTAATTTGATTTTACATTAGTGAGAACTCAATTCTTTAATAAATATAAATATTTTTTAACAATTCTACTTGCCAAAGTTAATTCAATTTTGATAAATATAACTAATAAATAGGGAATTTTTGTTTTGGGGAAACTATACTCTCCAAAAAACTTATTTTATTTTGTTAATAATATATATTTGTATTACTTTATCATTTTTTTTGTTGTAGGTATTGCTAGCTCAATAGTTTGTATGTCAAATTGGCTATTTGTTTTCTTGGTCACCAAATTTTTCACATTATTGGTATCTGCCATTTATTTATACAACACATTTTGGCTATTTACATTATTCAGTGTATTGGGAACATTCTTTGTGGTGTTCTTCGTCCCTGAAACTAAAGGCAAGACCATGGAAGAAATTCAAGAATTGCTTGGGGCTGACCATATTACACTATTAACAGAAAATCAAAATTATGCCCAAGAATAATATATTACTATCTTAAGTTCAAACTTAAACAATTTTTTATTTATCCACCAGTTTTCATATATTGTTATTATTAAATTGTGTAAGATTATATTTTGTACTAATTACTTATAGAAATAGTTGCATGTTTTTATCAATAGCAAACATTTAATTTTTTACCTGTTTTAGTATGTATTAATAATTGGATCTGTTTTAAATGATTTAAAATTGTTTTTTATTACATTTATAGTTTAATGTATATTATTATACATATATTTTTTTACTGACTGCCTTAAAGCTTATGCTGTGATGAAATTTTTTAGTTTTAGCTTAAATTTCTAACTTTTGGAACATTTCCATAGATTAAATATATTATCTGACACTCCTTTTATTATTAATGTATTTCTAATTGGTGTGACAATTTAAATCTGTGATACCTACCTCTAGACTTTTTTATTATATAAAATCATGTATGTAATCAAATAAATAAATACATTTTATGATTAGGTACCTATCTATTTATTTTTATAAAACAAATTGTTATTTATACTATTTTATTACAATGATAGTATTTATAATTGGTACAATCGGCACATAACATACAAGTACAATATAAGAAAAGGTGTTAAAAATAAAAATAATTAATTAACATTGAAGACATGGGACAATTAAACATCAAATATATCTATTAAAGAAGAACAGCCTTTATTATAGTTTGAAAGAAATATTAAAATCAATTAAAAATACATTTAAACTAATTTTGCTAATTTATCATAATATTATAATATATAATATACTACCGGCTGGGATCCACAACCATGCATTTAAGCATGATCCTGCAAATTGAATAGCAGTTCAACAGGCTGGACGAATCCAGGTATTTGTGTCCTCAGCAATGATATTGAAGTTAAGATTATTGCTGTCAAACTGAGGTTATAATGGCCTGGTTTTGCGGTGTGTGTTAGACGACATTACTTCAATTAAAATCTCAAAACTGACAGAGCCCCTTCAAGCACATATACATGTGATGTCTGCGACAAGTTTTTGCCCGAAGCAAAATGTACAGCTATAAACCATAAACAACAATTAAAATAATATTTAAGAATAACATTAAAATAATTCACTCAGTTACAAATATTGAAATATATAATTTTACGGAGTAGTAAATAGTAATAAATTAGGTAGGTTCATAAATGTAAAAATATGGGTGATTTTGGATTGTCATTTTTGAATTACATCAAAAAATAATTTTTTTGTAAATGGATAAGTTATTAGACATTTTTAATTCAACAGAAATTCCAAATGGCAAAATGTTCTACATTACAATCAATTTCTCCCATAAATACATTTTCTACCTCAGCCAGGGGCGGAGTGGGAACCAAATCCAGGCCGGGAGTTTAAAATTTATCCAGGCCACCCACCAAATTTTTTTTTCTCGCTACGCTCGAATTTCATTTTTATATTTACCTATTCCAAAATTACTTTCAGTATTACAAAAGTATTTCAATCACTATCTTGCTATTTCTTTTAACTTCTGTCTTCTAACACATTGTATTAATATACAACTAAGTACTAATAACTGAAAGTCTGAAAACATTACCACAATCTATAGAGATTATAGATTCTAAATTATTACTGTTTGATGTTTGATCTGAAAAAAGTTAAATTAAATAAACACAAGTACATTTTATTCAAAATATTGAAATATAAGAGCGAGGTCCTCAGCAGTCCTGGATCTATGCTCCGTGAAGCATTAGAGCCGTGACGCACTAGGCAACCAGTTATTGAGCAGCCACTCAACTCCCGGCCGACGTTAAGTCCGTCAGTCGGTCGACCGTTGTCAATCAATACAATTGTACAACGATCAGAAAGCTTAGAAAGTCTTAAGCAGTTTATTTAAATTATTTTTCCAAATTTATATGGGGCATGAGGCCCTACTCAGTTGGGGCCCGGGATGCGATTGCATCCCGTCATCCATTTCCAGCCCGCCACTGCATGGACGTAATTTATGCATATTCAGATTTTCATAACGATAATTTGTGAACGCAGTTCGATAAAAATCTAAGACTTTATAAATTAAACTATAATATTGTATAATAATTTATTATCTGGTTGAATTGTTTAAATATCAAAATATAACACGATATTATAATGTTATTTATTTACATCACTACGGTTTACTAATAAACAGAGTACTCGCAATAAAATATTATTTTGTTGTACGCGCGCGTTGAACTCTATTTTCTGTAAAAATATGTATTTTTCGAAAGAATTTTTGATAGGAATTTCCTTGGCTTCCCTCGGTGTAGCTGGAGTGTCTTTCCTATTGTCAAGGAGAAAAAAACCAACCAACCATGGATATTATGGAACGAAAAATATGGAAGACTTCTTGGAGGTAAACAAAATATAATACCTACATAATATCATGTAGGTTTATATTATAACAATAAACGTTTAAATTCTATAATATTTGTCATTTTTAGTATAACCAACATATTAATTAGTTTCGGAGCAAAAACCTTGTGTGACTGGAGTGCATACCTGCAGGTTTTTGCTCTGAAATGTAATAACCTGGTAAGTCCATTTTGCTTAATATATTATCTCCGTAACTAATAATAGGACATAACGGTTTGTTACACCGAAATGTGTAGTTTATTTCATGATCAGGAAACCACAGTAAAAATACTTTTTTGAAAAATGGGACATATCAGGTTTTTCACAGAAGGATTCCATACTTTTTAGCTTAGATAGGTATAGCCAGGTACAAATATTTACCATAAGTGCCAATTTACATTTATGAGTTTATAAATTTAAGTAGGTATTATTAGCAGTTGAAATTCACTAACTTTTAACTTGCACATTTAATTATTAATCTGTAACTATAATATGAAATAATTACAAGTCACATAATATATTATGTTGGTAAATTGCAACCCATATTAATAGTTAAATTTACAAATCATAAATATGAGTAAACTTTTCAACTATGGACCTACTGATAATTTATTGTACACATTAAATAGGTTAATACAATATTAATTCAACTTCGATATGATTTTAAATTTACAAGTAGGTAATGCGAATATATAATAATATAGTACCTACCTATTTATATTAATAGGACGAAAACGATAAGTTTTTCGATGCGGAATCGAAAAGTTTTCGGCCCGTGTCCGATGATGAATTTGTAAGTTTTCGGACCATGCCCAATGTGGAATCTGTAAGTATTCGAACCGTGTCCGATGTGGAATCTGTAAGTTTTCGGACCATGCCCGATGAAAACTTGAACGATAACCCAAAGCTCGTAAAATCAATAGGAGGTCAGTTTTCCATATGATATTGAGTATAATTTTTTAATTAAAACTATTTTCCATACTTTCTAGAACTGTATATGGACGCTGTGGAAAAGCAGGCGTTCGAGGATCTACAAGTATGAAACTAAGAACGGCTTTATAACAATCGAATGTAATCATATATAATATCGCAGTGCTGATAAATGGTTTTGATTTGATTTTCAGCATAACTTTAAAGTGGTTGTAATGAATTGTTTGGAATTGAAACATCACGTGGCCGACGCAATGTATACGTTTCAACAGACGGCCGACGATCAGCGCCTATCGATCGACGGCCTGAAATTAGAAGTGTCTAGGCTTAAAAAGGATTTGAACCGTTTGACCTCTGATCTGCTTAAAAATACAGAGATGCAGTCCGCGGAAAGTAATATTATATAATAATATATCGACCTGACTATACCCATAACAGTGTAATACATCAGTCGTTTCCGTTCGTTTAGCAAACACCGAAAAACCCGACGGCTGCAAGCTACGTAGACTGAAGACAAGGGTCTCGGTTCTTGAAAGTAATATAATATAGAAAAATAACGGTTAATAGATAATAAAGTACTAATGACGTGTGCCCGTGTAGGTGATGTGACGAAAAACTCGATAGATATCGTTGGAATAAACCACATGCTGATGTTAACGTTGACGAGCTCGGGAGCTGCCGCTGATAATGATGTGTCGGCAGGAGAAAACCTTTTCGAGCTGGACACTCTGAACACGCAATGCCACAGACCTACCTCGCCGACCACGTCCACATCCTTTACATCCGTCGCAGGCCCGCCTCCTGCGGTAAACTCGGAACATTTTTGGCCGCCAACTCCACCTCCTACAGTAACCTCGGAAAACTTTTGGCTGCCTGCTCCGCCTCCTGCTCTAACCTCGGAAAACTTTTGGCCGCCTCCTCCGCCTCCTGCTGTAACTTCAGAACACTTTTTGCTGCCTCCTCCGCCACCTGCTGTAACTTCAGAACACTTTTTGCTGCCTCCTCCGCCTCCTACTGTAACCTCGAAAATTTTTTGGCCGATGACGACCGGCACGGCAGCGTTCCGCCGTGACCCTGTTGTGCAGGAGCCGTGCGCATCCGTGCGTGGAACCGAGGAGAAAGAATTGCCAACTTACTGCCGTGTGCCCATAACGGTGGAGAGTTTGAGGGCCGTCGTCCTCAAGCCTGTAGCCCGTCAGACTTGAAGATCGAATAATGTATTTCATTTGTGTTACATATTATGTATTAGGTATGTGTATTTCTGTTCATAAATTAATAAACCTGTTTAATAAAATATACCCGACGTATTTGTTTTATAATGTAGGTTATCAAATTACCGTTACAATATTATTATGAGTTATTAAAGTCTCACTTTATGACTTTAATCATTTTTAAGTCCTTAAAATTTGGAAATGGGGTCATATAACCAGTGGTGAGACTTATTTAGATAATTTATCTAGATAATTATTTAGTTATCTTTTATCTTATATAGATAAATAGTTGTGTTTTATCTAAATAATTATCTAAGATAAAAAATTCATCCATCTAGATAAATTCGTCTCTATACAAAAAATGATATACACTTTTTACTGTAGTAGTGTAGTATCTAAGCTGAACTGTCAAATGTTAGACTTTATAGTATGTATCAGTGTTGGGAAGGAACGCGTTCCTTTTATAGGAACGAAGCTCGGAACGCGTTCCATTTAAAATATAGGAACGAGGAACGGGAACGAGTTCCTATTTTGAAGGAACTTGAACGAAAATTTCCGTTCCTCAAATAATGAAAAAAAAAATCTAAAAAAGTCTACGCTATACAACTTTTGAATTATAACAAAAAAATCTAAGACAAATCATTTTTGTTAAAAATCGGTGCTCCTAGAAAGGAGTGAGTTAACCGATTTCAGTGGTGGTCAATGGTGTTTTTTGCGAAAAATTTTTAAGTCAGAAATAATCGGTTAACTCTCTCGGTTCGATAAATTTCTGACTTAAAAATTGTTCGCAAAATACACCATTGACCACCACTCAAATTGCAAAAAAAGGAACATGAAGGAACGGGAACGCGTTCCTTTTTAAAAAGGAACGGGAACGCGTTCTTTTTTGGGACAGGAAAGAGGAACGGGAACGAGTTCCTTTCTTACAGTAGGAACGAGGAACGGGAACGAGTTCCTTTTTAAAAGGAACTTTCCCAACACTGGTATGTATCGCATACAACCAACGCGTGCGAGCAGGGCCGCATTTAGGGGGGGCACTGGCCACTGGGTACAACTGCCCCGGGCGCCAGTATTTTAGGGGCGCCAAAATTTTGTGGACAGAAATGTCTTTACTTATGATTTTTTTAAATTGTATTCTTTAAATTATTTTTATAACAGTATTATATAATATAATCTAGTATAATAGTATTGTATATATTATTATAGTATAATAATTATGCTGTTTGAAATTTATTATTTAAACAATCAATGTATTTATAGCAATATAGCTACAGCGATCGATAATTATTAATATACCTAGTTCACAAATTTGTTGTGATTATGTCAATAGACATCAGTTATTTATAATAATACGGGCAATACCAATACGGCGTATTGATTTTATATTACATAGTTTTGTACTTATGATTAAAATAAAGGAAGTTCCAAAACAATGATCTTGAATATTATTCTATATTATAAACATCATTCATTTAAATAGGTAATATTATTTAATTATTTGCTATTAAATTTTGTGTTTATTATAATCATTATTTTTTGTAATTTCTACAAAATTAAGTAAGTAAGAATCAATTAAACTATAGGTATGTAGAGATTCAAAAATAATTAATGTTTAATAACTGGTAAGTTGACAAGTTGTTATGAAACAAATTTATGCAGGTCACTTTTTTGTCACTTTTATAAATAAATTCAGTCACTTTTTTTAAATAGCTTAAACCACTACCAGCCCTGTATATAGTTACATTAATTTTATAAAATACTATATACAATAAAATATAAAATATTTATTTGCATAGTTTTATATAATTTTATTTTATTTATCCATGAAGTACCTACTTAAATATGTTTAAAAAAAAAAACAACTTAATGATACTAAATTATTAGCAAGGTTTGAGTGACATAAATTCCAATATATCTTTGCGGAGGGATCAAGCAATTACTAAACAATATTTTTTTAAAAAAGCACTCTTAAACAAATATTCTTTTCTTCGCTCAAAATCTAAAGGGTAATGAGGATCTACCTCACATATTTTCCGTGGGAGGAGCAATTTTTTTTTCACCGGGGCTTGGGGGGCGCCAATTTTTTTTTTGCACCGGGGCAGGTGCATTTCCCTGGCACCCCCACTTCCAAATTTTGGATTCAAACCAAGGGCTTTCGTTTGTGCTACGTTTGTGCTGGATTGTGCTCGAATTTCATCGTTTGTGCTGCAACCCTTAAGGAGTTATAAGCGATAACGATTGGGGGTGCCAGCGAAACGACTGCACCCCCACCTCAGAATTTCGGATTCAAACCAAGGGCTATTGTTTGTGCTACGTTTGTGCTGGATTGTGCTCGAATTTCATCGTTTGTGCTGCAACCCTTAAAGAGTTATAAGGGATAATGATTGGGGGTGCCAGCGAAACGACTGCACCCCCACCTCACAATTTTAAAATTTAAATTACACCATTCGTTTGTGCTACGTTTGTGCTGGTTTGTGCTCGAGTTTCATCGTTTGTGCTGCAAACACTAATGAGCTAGAACGGATCTTTAGTGGGGGTGCCAGCGAAATGGCTGCACCCCCACCTCCAAATTTTCAAATTTAAATTATGCCATTCGTTTGTGCTACGTTTGTGCTGGATTGTGCTCGAGTTTCATCGTTTGTGCTGCAACCCCTAATTAACTACAGGGGATCATTAGTGGGAGGGGGTGGTATGGAGCCATAATGCAGCCGCGATTCAAAATATTGGATCTCCAAATGAGCCAATCTTTAGTAGTTTGCTACTGATATCCTGTACCACTTTTTCGACGTCAGTACTCTACTACTTCCGAAGTTATCCTTATAAATTTAATTAGGGGGTTGTAAAGACGTGCCGGCACCCCCCATATTGAATTGTTTGGTCCAAATCAGTCCCATTGGTTTTGACTAAGTAAGTGCTTATTTGTACTCTTTGTCCCATCGTTATTATTATTTACTAGTAAAAAAAGTTAGGTATAAGCCTTTCTTACAAGGGGATGATCTGGAATCCTAAAACGAGGACAGGTGGACTACAGCCCACAGAGTTTTATCGGAAATTGCTTGAGGTTGGTTGGTAAAAGTAATCAAAAGGTGTCCATAGGTGTCTCGTAGTTTTTAGGTTCAAATAATTTACTTGCATGAGTTTGATTATAAAATTTACGTGATCGTAATTATTGTGAAAATCAAAATTCTCAAATATACGTTTTTATCTTGCAAAACTATTAGAAATAACTAAATGGCGTATATGGATCATTTTCACTTTTACTGAAAAAATTCGTATCCCTAACTGTTAAATCAAAAACCAAAACGAAAACATTTTTAAAAAAGTTAACCAAGGAAATACGTAATACGCTTGATTAAACAACTCAAAAATCAAAATAGACCTTAAAATGTAGTAAAACACTTGATTAAAGATTGGTTTAGACTAAGTTAGTGCTTATTTGTACTCTTTGTCCCATCGTTATTATTTCTTTGCTCATAAAAAAATAAGTTCTAAATTGCCGATTTTTCAATGTCCCTGACCGCTTAACTTTATATAGGCTGTAAGCCTTATATTGTGTATTTTTTAATGAATGTAAAATCTTATAATAAATATTTTTAAAAGTATTTTGGATAATAATACTTAAAATCAAAATAGTTATTAATTTTTGCTGCTATAAGGTGTTTTTAATTTACTTACATAATCATGGCAATATTGTAAAACCCAAAGTTTCCAGACTATTTATTCGAGACTAAAAAATAAGAGGTTTCGCTAAAAAGTAAAAACATTAATAAATCATATTTACCTATATAAAAATGAATCCAATTAGAAACCGTTGAAAAATATAAACAAGCAAATTAATAAAAACTCAAAAAAATATGAAACAAATAGATACTGTTTTTGAATTCAGTCGTCTATGGTTAAGTATTATATTGAGTAAAAATCTCATAAATTTACATATGGGTTTTAGGAAAATGAGGCACCTACTACCTACCTAAATTATTATGTTTTATGTAGATTTTTTAACTTATTAGGCCAGATTGGACGAATAGGAAATAAGTTAGTGTGGATATGGTTAATGAAGTAAAATCGTATGAGAATTGATAGCCAGTAAGTACCAATATTGTATAGTGTCTACAACTGTCTACATAATGATATATATAGGTACCTTATAGTCACCCATGTAAACTTTTTGTGAATAACATAGGCAGCCTTATTATGTATACGTACAATGATTATTTTTTTATAATTTTTATCGCCAGAAACTGTATCAAAAAAAATAAAAAAATAATATTTATTGTACTATTAAGTAGGTAATCCAGCCAATGGTTATAAATAAAAAAGTTAACCAAGGAAATACGTAATACGCTTGATTAAACAACTCAAAAATCAAAATAGACCTTAAAATGTAGTAAAACTATCCATATACGCCATTTAGTTATTTCTAATAGTTTTGCAAGATAAAAACGTATATTTGAGAATTTTGATTTTCACAATAATTACGATCACGTAAATTTTATAATCAAACTCATGCAAGTAAATTATTTGAACCTAAAAACTACGAGACACCTATGGACACCTTTTGATTACTTTTACCAACCAACCTCAAGCAATTTCCGATAAAACTCTGTGGGCTGTAGTCCACCTGTCCTCGTTTTAGGATTCCAGATCATCCCCTTGTAAGAAAGGCTTATACCTAACTTTTTTTACTAGTAAATAATAATAACGATGGGACAAAGAGTACAAATAAGCACTTACTTAGTCAAAACCAATGGGACTGATTTGGACCAAACAATTCAATATGGGGGGTGCCGGCACGTCTTTACAACCCCCTAATTAAATTTATAAGGATAACTTCGGAAGTAGTAGAGTACTGACGTCGAAAAAGTGGTACAGGATATCAGTAGCAAACTACTAAAGATTGGCTCATTTGGAGATCCAATATTTTGAATCGCGGCTGCATTATGGCTCCATACCACCCCCTCCCACTAATGATCCCCTGTAGTTAATTAGGGGTT